TTCTAAGAAAAACATAATTTTTAACTAAAAATTTTTAAGTTTCGTTAAACATTTCATGCTCTTCCTTCATTTCATATTCAACAATGCGAAACCTTTTTATTATACCTTCGTCTACCTTTCTAATCTTTAAATTATTTTAATCACTCATATGTTTACCCTCAACAAACCTAATCTATTTTAACAATCCATCAAAACATAATCGAAGATTCTTGCAAAATATTGGCCGCGACTTTTTATGATGAGGTGCACTTACGTATTCGTCATGATTGTTCGAAGTATTGAGGAGATAATTAAAATGTGATAGTGTAAAATAATGTAAATATTCAATAATTATACGGATAGATAGCAAATTGTATAAATGAAATTTTTTTTTTTTTTTTTTTTTTATCACAGACAATTATGCGTTAGAGAAAAGGATTTATATAAAACATAAACGTATGAATAATATATATATATATATATATATATATATATATATAATGAATGCTTAAAATAACTATAATGCACTGATCGATGATTTAATCAGTAATCAATTATGCCAACTTTTTAAAAATAATTTTCCATCTTAATAGTTCCTAACAAATAATTTCATATAATTAAATTTAATAAATAAAATAGTAAATTACAATAAGTTATAATCAGTAATCGATGATGATGTAATGCAATAATTAACTGCATAAATGAAAATAAATATTTATAAATATATTAATTTAAAAAAATAGAAATGATTTTATTTACATTACTTTTGAAATTACATTAAAAATATCAAATTAAATTAAATTAATACTATTCGTAAAGTGTGGCATAAATGAAAATGAAATGATGCAAATAAAAATTGGTGCATATATACGTAAACTGCATAAAAAATAGCATTTGAATACTATAAAAATGCAGCGTCTAAAGTTCAATTTAATAAACTTAAAATTCGTTACGTTTGCGCGCTTAAAATTAGATGAAAATAAATTATTATAAAAATAAGCGAGCATTTCATGCCTAAGGTTTAATTTATCGAAGTAAAAATTTAATTAGTTCTGTACCACCTCAAAAAAAAAAAAAAAAAAAAAAAAAAAAAAAAAAAAAACGGAATGTTGTGGTTTACTAACTAAATTATCAAAGCGCTTTTCTACTAGAAATTTCACGTCTCACTATATCATAAATATAAAATCATTAACGAAGGACAACTTGTCAATCGCAATTGATAGTGTGTACGACATATGCGGATGAATATAAAGAATCAAGAGGCAAACATTATTATTTTAATAACTAAGCAAAAAGTGCAACAAGGCAATAAACACGTATAATATGTAATAAAAAATATTTATTTGCGTCGTATGCAAAGTTAACGATCTGACGATAATGCCGGTTAAGTTAATGTTATACTGAACCATTGTGTAGATGAGTCATTAGTAACTATTACGGAATTAACACTTGGAGCTCTCTAACCACTGTATTTCATGAATATTAAGGTTTAAGATTACAATGAAAGCTCTGAAGTATCCATTTCAATTCAATTTTAAAAGCTGCTTTCTAACGCTAAATGATATAATAAACCACTCGTAATTCATCCTATACCTACAAAGTTATCAAATGCATAGTCTTTAAAACATACTTTATTAAGTGAATTAAATTAAAGATTTAATCCTGTAAATTCGATGAAAAGGATTGAAATTACACAAGTATATATATATATATATATATATATATATATATATATATATACACATCAATAACATATAACATATATATTATACTTCATCATATCTATTTCATGGAACTCATTGAAATTAAAATATTAATACGATTTTATTCATCGTACAAAATGAATTTGTGAGATTTACCAATGAAAGACTTTCCCATACAGTTTTATACTCAAGTTTATACCCTTTAACTTACTTTCTTTCACTTATCTCCTCTTTTTCATATTTTTCTTTCTTGGCACTTTCTCATCTCTCTTCTTGCAGTCAAATCAATATTCACTTCCTTCTACATAATTTCTATCTCTCTACCTCTTACATATCCATAATTCCACAATACAAATATATTCATTAGTTTATAAATGCTTTATTTTTCAAATATTGCTTACTTGGCTCTTGCAAATGTATCTGATTATCTTAATAATAATTTAATTAATATAATAATCGCAAGATTCAATTGTATGACTTCCTCAATTCAATGTAATATCAGATCATTTTTTATCATCTTATAGACAAGAATAATTATTATTTAATAGTTCGTAACAGAAGTGATAAAATATTTCATTCAACTCTTTTCTCTTATATACATTATTAAAAATATTACAAATTTCAGATTTTTAAATTAAAATTACAATAATTTTTTACCGATCCTTTTTAATTGCTTTAATTTTAACTTCCATATCGTTATACGTATTATTTATAAATACACATATATATATGTATGTACATATATTAAAAAAAAAAAAAAAAAAACAAAAAAAAATTTATAATTTAATTGAATATATTATCTTTATAACTCAAAAATCCATATACTCATTTCAATCCAATGGATCGAATAAAACAATATATTTTAAGGTATCGTTAACAAGCAAATTATAAAAAATGTCTATATAACTTTGAAATCAATATACTTAATGAAATGCCTCACAAGATACACAAGTTTTTTTATATATAGCGATAAAACTTAGTGCTTCCGAAGGGAAAGCGATAATTTTTAACAAACTAATGATGATTGTTATGTATAAATAATCTTATATTAAACGTCTAAATATCCAAATATGCGAATATCGAAATATAAAGTTTTCATAATTAGGCTTTATTAGAATGAATTAAAATTGGTTATCATTTAGTGTTTAAATACTTGAATAAAAATTGTATCTAGAAATGTCAAAAGTGAGAGTGTGTTAAAAACGTTAAAAAGAGTTTTTATTTGAATTTTAAGTTTTTACATCAATTAATAACCTGAAGTTAACCTTCAACATTATGTTCTCGCGTATTTCACTGAAAAATATAGCATGAAGAGGATATTTTTGCCTTTTAATTTACTCGCGATATTGTCAAATGTTTTCAGCTTCATTTTCGTATACAATGGCGCCAAATTTGCACAATATTAAATGTACTAAACAAGAAATAAAAGTTTTCAAAAAAAAAAAAAAGAAAAAAAAAAAAAAGACCTGACTAGCGCCGAATGCAATTCCAAAACGATGCGATTATAATAGGCTTGAGTTCCGATAAAAAATATCGTTCATAATAGGATTAAATCAATTTGAACATAACAAGATTCGAATCCTGTTCACAGTTACTTTTATGTAAATCCTAATAATTAACAGATGCATTCCACCTATACATTCTAAAACCATCAAATGGCAATCCATATCTTTATTCCAAAAGTTGGTGGGCTGATCGGGATCGGTTAAAAATTGAAATCTGGCTGTAATAGGGGAAAAACCGACGTATGTCGATTCAGTGTAACCAATATACTGACAGATAAAAAAATTATGGGATTCCGCCAATAAACAATACTTTACTATTTTCGTTTTTTTTTTTTAATTAATGAGATATTAATGTGTAATTTCATGCATTGCCAATGATTTCGTTATACTATCCGAGAGGAGACAGTTTGACGTAACGTTTTTCAAAATGAAGTTAATAAATAAGCAAAAGTGTAAGAAGATTATCTACACAGATAAATATGAAATGGAAAGTATTTATTTGCATTAAAGCCGAAAATAAATAAATGTACGAACACGAAGTCTCAGTAAATTCAATGCTGAATTAAGATCCTAGTAGAATGTTTATTTCTTTTTTATTATTAATTTTTATTTGTGTATATATATATATATATATATATATATATTCATATTTTCTTTAATAATAAAAAGGGAAATACCTACAGAAATACCCATGAACGTATGTTTTTTAATTTGAACGTATGCTTTGGATTAATTGTAACTTTAAATGTGCTAAATTATACGCTTACATGTACTGTCGCTTTGTCAAATTTTCTAATTTTTACATGTTGCTTACCCTTTATTTTTTTATTCCATAACTTATGCAGAATTCAAAAATATATAATAAAATATTTCCTTAATTTTCTTATTTTAAAATATATTTAAATATTAAAAAAACTTTACTAATATAATTTATGTCCGATAAGACTACCAATCTTCAATGTACTGAAAATAAGGAATATATTATTATAATATAGATAACTGTATAAAACAACCATTGTAAAAGTATATCAAATCGACTATACGAAATCATACATATAAATGTATTATTTAAAATACTTCTACGTACCCTAATTTAATTAAAATTTTTAATGAAACTTTGATTGAAAAGAAATGTACGAACTAGATGTTCATATTTACTTTTCAATTCAAAATTCAAAACATTTTACTGAAATCTACCCTCCACGGTGTTCTGGAAACAATTTAAAATAAAAATTAAAAAAGAAAAAAAAGAAAAGAGAAAGCACGAATGCCCGCAGCGTTTGACTACAATATAAAATTAATTTTTTGTATTATTTTGTACTTTTCTACGAATTTTTGTTGCCTCGCGGTTATTTCGCTTTGTCTGGAAATATATTCCATGAAAACGACAACGAATATCGTGCCTCGGCACTCTTCATTATCGTTATAGTCGTTATCGCGTGACGTTATTGAAATCCTTAATAGGGAAAAAGTCAATAACACAGTTAAATGACATGCTTTTAAAATAAATCATACACATTTTGTTTTAAACATTAACCGTGAAATCAAAAGAATTAACGATCCTTTAATCTACAAACCATCTTTTGTACGACCAATGGTGCTGCGAGAAACGCATTTGTTGTCGTAACACATTTTTTAAACTTAAGCAAAAAAAAAAAAAAAAAAAAAAAAAAGACCTACGAAAAAATATAATGCTAAATATTGTTTTATCTTTTGTACGTTTACTAAATTTAATACTGACTGAAACAATAATATATTTCTATAAATTAAAAGTAATAGTATTTTTATAAGGATTAAATGATGTACGCAAGCTTACAATAGCCTGTCTCATTTTAAAAGCAAGCCGTTCAACCTACAGAATCTCTCGGTTCCAACGCGACGCTTCATCGGAGCGTCGATCGCCAATTACAGGAAAGAAGACAATACCAGTCTCGTCTGGTAATTATTCCCTCCTTGTTCTTTTAGGGCGCTGCCCGAGAGTGCTGACAACCTCCTCACCGCCCCGCGTCTTTTTACCGATCTGTACCTGACTTTGTGCGGTCAATTGCAGCGAGACCGCGTGCGTGTTGAGCTTCTCCGCGAGCAGCAAATCTTTCAGGCCCTTCATTTTTTGGCTGTAAAGTGTTATCCGCGGACTCTCGCTCTCATCGGAGTCCAGCTCCAGATCGATCTCGCTTAAGCCATCGTCAAGGCTATCCTGCGAAGTCGAAGGTGTCGAAATGCCGCAGACAGAAGACGTCGACATCGGCAACTCTAGCATCGTGCCGTCTGCCGGAGCGACGAAGGGCTCACCGTCCCCCTGTAGCAGATAATCCCTGTTCAGGATTTTTTCCCCGCAGGCTGCTGCCAGTGCTTGGATACCCGGGTGCATAGGCTCCGGATTCTCAGGTACTTTCGACTCGAGACTCTTTATGAGTTCGCGTGTTGTGCTGCATCTCTCCTGATCAACAAAGTACTCGATTAGTCTTGCTATTTTATTTATATGCTACATTTTCTTTACGTAGGTCTAATTGGGCGTGATTACTGTTCAATGCTTCGATTATCAAGTGATATTCCATACAGTGATAACGACATAGTTTTATTATTATTAGTACAGACCAATGGCAATAGATCAATTTCATTAAATATGTAAATTTTATAATTGCTGGACTTATAAAATTATAAATATTAAATAAATATTTGCTATAAATATTTATGCTAGCGATCTAATAATTGTGCTTGTTCGAAAAATAATAGTAAGAATTTATTTTATGTATTTTTTATCTAAATCATTAAGAATTAAAATATAAGTTATAATAATTACTGTATTCCACTTTAAGAGAAAATTAAAAAATCATAAGTGGTAAAAAACATAATCAAATTTTAAAATTATTTTAATTAGCTTTATTTCCAAGCTTTTTTAATTTTTAAAGGATAAACTAATAGCATATTCATATAAAAAATTCATTAATAATTTATTTAATGTCTTGTTTCATCAATATATATTATTTTTAAAGGTTTAGCAGTTTTTTTTATCTAAACTATTTTCAGGATGTAATTTGCACTGAATAACTAAAAAAAAAAAATAATCAAAAATCCGTTTAATAATTGGCATTGTCTAATACATACATATACATATATATATATATATATATATATATATATATATATATATATATATATATCGATTATTCAATAAATTCAATTAACTTGCATTATAAATTCTTTCAATTTGCTTTTCAATTATTACCTAAAGCACAAATATCACTATAATTGTTAAAATTGTAATTTGAGACCTTTGTTTTGTAATAATTGTTGTTGTTGTTATTGTTGTTATTCAAAGTTTCATCAGAACTTCCTTCTAAAAGTTTAGCTTCATCTTCATAGCAATCGATCACAACTTGAGCACGTATATTTGCATCAAATTTTGAAATAGTATTAACAAGTGGTCTCGCCCAGCCAATGTGCAAAACTGGTGTGTTGGCCCCTTCTTCCCACTGACAAATGCCATCGTAAAATCGTAATAAGTAAGCAAAGCAGCGAGGTTGCCGCAATAAATGTTCATCTGCCCTCACTGTATGTGGTATGAGTTCATTCGCTATTTCAAGTAGCTCTTTGTAAATTTCTCCATCATCTCTTGAATAGTCATACCTGTTGGCGAATTTATAAACAAAAATTGTGTAATTTCTAAACAGTTGTAAAATAAAATTACTATAATATGTTTTGTACATGATTATTAATGCTAATCGCGATTTTTCTTTTCGGCAATAGAACAATTGTATATTAACGAGGCACTTACTCTTATGGGCGCTTGTAAAGGCAAAAAGAAATGACATTTCCATTAAGACAATTTAATAAATATATGTTTGTTATGACGACTTATTACTAATTTATTATCAACTTTCACCGTTGCCAAGTTAGACGAAAGTAGCCATTAAGAACAAAAATTTATAATTTGATACAAATAATGACATTTCAGCTTAAAAGATAATTAACTTATTAGACGACTTACTTTCTTAAAGCGTCAGCAGCATCAGCCCACGAAGCAAGAGCATTTGCATGCAAACCATGTCGATAAAGATATCCTCCTTGGTATGTGTAAGGATAAACATGGGCATTTTCATAATATTTTCTTGCTGATTGAACAGCTTCCTATAAGTAAACGACGATTAGATGTTAGCTGGACCTTGTGGTCTCCTAATAATATAATTCATACCTGAAAGAGATTAATCGCTGGAGGTCGTCCTGGAGTAGGTGCAGCTTCTTCTAACTCTCCAAGATTACCAAGGGCCATAGGATACTTTGTTAAGTGTCCTAGATCATAAAGTAACCAAAGTAATTCTTGTTGTAGCAGAGCAACTTCAATAGCATCCGCAGTTGCACTAAAACTAGGATTTATAGCAGAAACTATTGTTGCTACTTCCATCGCTCGATTACATACGACTGCTTGACCATTAACATATAACCACGATCTTGACGCTATTCCAGGGTCAACAGGCTGTCCACGTTTATCTTCATTACCTTTACCTACATATAACATTAATGTTAATTTTTTTTTTTTTTTACGTGCTGGTACATATTAATAAACTAAAATAAAACGAATTAATAATATCAAAATTTCAACAACAATTCAACCAGCAGTGAATGCAAGCAATGAAAATGTGAAAAAGACTCGATAAAATTTATTTAATAAAATCATCGACTATTTAATAATAACTTGATTATAAAATTCACTATTGCGCTAGTTGAATCTGACGTTGAATTTAATTATTTAGCTACTTATTTGTCATATACATGCACACTTTTCTTAATGTACGTAAATTTAAAAAAGATTTTTCTACCATGCCAAGTTACTTCTGCCGTTTCTTCGCCGTTTTCTCCAAAAACGACCCAAGCATGATCTTCAGACATTGCAAGATGCACATCGTTAAAGCCTAAGACCTGACATCCAGCAACAACCGCAAAAGCCACTCCAAAGCAATCCAATTTGTTAGATGTCAAGTAACTATATAAGCTTTGTAAATGTGCACGATCTTTATAGTAACTTCTCGTTAGTGAATTCCAAATAACATCTGATACGCGTTTTACCAATTCTCTCGTTGCATATTTAGTATTATATACTGAAAGATCAACGGCACTTTTAATAATCGAATTAAACTTTGTATACATAGCTTCGGTCATATGGTACTCCACAGGTGGAAGTTTTGGTTCGTCATAAGCAGCTGCTTCGTCTAATCCAAAATTTCGATTGCACGTTAAAGAATTTTCTATAGCTCCAACAAGAATCGAAAGCAGGGCTAGATCGGGTTCAGCGCTATTTTCCAGTTGATTTTGGAAGATTTGTACAATGGAAGAAATACTTTGGATGGGAAAAACTCCCTTATCCTCCTCAAGAAAGCCAACCATAATGTTGGATTAGGTCAGACAAGCAGAGATAAATTTGCACCCTCCAGTGTGTTCTACAAAAATAAAATGTATATTAAGTCTTTTTGTTCTATTCTTCTCTCAAGTACATTATATTTATATTTTGCACAATAAATTATTATTAAAATGTTATAAATCGCTAAATAAGATGATATTTATTTTATTCCCTATTCAATGCCATTATTAAAATAGGTTAACAATCTGAAAATTGAACTTAATAAAACTATAAAGTCTAATGTGCTTCTATTAAATTTACAATAATTAATACGCTCAAATTGTAGAATATTATCTAGCAGATGTCGTACAAGAAATATACAAATACAGTTAAATAGCATCAAAACTTTAATAATATTAAGGAAAAAATTATCTACATAAATTCTCATAATATACCGATATTTTATTATTTTGAAATTGGTATTTTATACGCTTATTTAGGATTATTCAATTAAGTCATTATATTCTTATACGATCAAAAATTTCAATAGGGTCAATACACATAAATAAACGAAAGTCTTATAACATAATATACTTGAAAATGGAAATGATCTGTTAATTTTATTGGAAACTTCAACTTAAAGAATGTTTGACAATTGTAATTGGAGGTAATAGAATTAGTTGAAACTTTTTATTAAACTCTCTTAACGAGCAGTATTAAAAATTAAATTATAATACATAATTTTAGGTATTTATACGTTGGGTCAGATTGTAACCAAGATATTTTTGCATTAAATATTGCATTAAATGCAATAACATTATACTACAAACAAAAAAACATTAATCGATTCCTTTAATACAATGTCAATGTATTAAACTTGCACTCAAAGTAAATTTTATAATACGCGCTTACGGTTTGTTTATAGAAAATTGTATAAAATTTACTTTGCATATCTACAGTAAATTAAAATAAATATTCATAATATTCTCTATTAATTTGTACGAGTATTTTTGTTTTTTATCGCTCTCTCAAACATCGCTTATTTTACGTGCTATAAAAGTTAATTAAACAAATATATACAAATGCACCGCTGCTTTCAATTAATAAATAATTACCGGGAAGTGGATGACATTAAAAAGAATGAACGTCTCACAGAAAAACAGCGCGGTAAGGGCGTTGAAGCTTGAATCCTTCTCGACTTTTCGAAAAGGCAAACCGCCAAGTAACTATAGTTATGTACGCGCGCGAAGGGCCGCCGCTGCCGACGACAAAATACACGTATAAGAGTCATGATAAAGAGAGCAAGTGAGCGAAAGAGAAAGAGAGGTGGATTGCGTGCGCGCGCGCGCGAGCACAAGAGAGAGAGAGAGAGAGAGAGAGAGAGAGAGAAAGAGAGAAAGAGAGAGTGCTCGCGAGTGTACGTAAGAGCGCGAGAAATTGAGAAGGCAGAGGGGTAGGGACAGCGATCAGAGGTAGTTCCAAAGAGTGAGTGAGTGAGTGAGTGAGTGAGTGAGTGAGTGAGTGAGAGAGAGAGAGAGAGAGAGTGAGAGAGAGAAAAGATAACGAGATACGTCGAGAATATTATTTCGGCATTAAAAAAGCAGAGCAGCGGAAAGTTACCTTGGCCTCGCACTCTACCAACGCGTTCCCTCTCCCTCTTTTTCTCATTTTCGCGCCGCTGAAGGTCGTCGCGGCCGATCTTCACATCGTTCGGCTTAATGCCTCGCACGAGATATTTCTACGCCGGCCTCGCGGGGCCTTTTCTCTTTTCCCGTGTCTCAATCTCACTCCCTCCCGCCCTTCATCGTTCAACCACTCGCTCGCTCGCTCCCTCTCTTTATCTCTCACTATCTCTTACTCGCGGCCGCAGTCACAGGGCTAACTTGTCCGGGACTTACTCGGATGCGCCTTTACTCTCGGCCTAGTCCAGCAGCAGCCCAAGGAGCAGCTCGTCGGGCATCTCCAGGGCCACTCTTGCTGCACGTCGCGCTTAGCGAGGACATTCGAGAACAATAGCTCGAACCGAGAATCTTCCTTTGTACCACTCCTCACCCCGTCCCGATGCTGCTGCGTACCGCACAGTTTATACTTTGTATCACAATATGCATGCATACACTCTCTCGGTACCCGTCGCTCGGCGGCTCGCAGCGCGCCACTATATCATATAATGTATATGACTGCGCGCGATGCGATCCCACTCTCTTTTTTACTACGTTCTATCCGCGGCCGCCGTCCTTCTCTCTCTCTCTCCCATTTGACCGGTGCGCGCGTACACGAACGGAGGCAGAGGCTCGGCCAATGGGAGTAGAAGCAGAAGCGGGCGGCCGAGTGTACCTACGGTGCGGATGGCGCATGGACACAGCTAAACGGGTCGAGCGCGTGTCAATCGGTGAGGCTCGTACGTATGTGTTCGACTTGATGATCAACGCGACATCAGCGCCAGGTTTAACGGCGGCGCCACGTAGTTGCCCGATCTCTCTCGGCAGCCATCTGCCAAATGGCAACGGCGGTGGTGGTAGTGGTAGTGGCGGCGGCAGCGGCGGTGGCGGCGGCGGCGGCGGCAGCAGTAGCAGCAGCAGCAGCAACAACAGCAGCAACAACAGCAGCAACAGCGGTGGCACTCACACCAGCGAGTTTCCTAAGGATTCCCGCGAGCGCTTATTAGCGTTGCGCGCGTTTATCTACGGAGGTCCAAGCCCCGGCCATGGGAGAGCCTCCTTTTCCCCTACTAGTTAAAACGCGCCGACAAGCGGTCGGTCGCCTAGAATAAGCTCGCCGACCTGCGCACACCTGGATGAAATTTCGCGTACGCGCGCTACGCTCAACGGAGGTGCCATCTACCCCGGAGGGCTTCACCTTTCGCGGCGCTCCGTCGCATTCCCCTCTCGCGTACCTAAGCGTAGCTCCCCACTAATCTTGTGTACCGCAACCTGGGCAATGGACTAAGAGACGCGGGGCAGGGGGAGGAGGAGGTGGCGGTGGGTGGTGGCGGCGGCGGCGGCAGGAGGAGGCAGGAGTCCGTCTCTGCATGTATGCGTGCGCGCGTGGCGAAGAAATGCGCGCGATGCCCCTCGCACGCTTTTGTCTCAAGGGACAAGGTTGTATTGTCGTCCTCCTCAGTTATGGCATTTGGAAAAGGCGCGATGGCATAGTCAGTCACCAGAGAAGCCATTATTGCTGCTAAAAAAAAAAAAAAAAAAAAAAAAAAAAAGGAAGGAACCATGTGTCAGAAACAGCTGGTCCGACGGCAGCCAACCTTAGTAGCATTGGCTTTTCCTTCTCTTCTTTTCTTTCTCATTGTTATTTTTCCGTTTTCCATTCCTCCCTTTTATTCATTTATCGTTGAGCGAAGCCTATAAATAATACATTAACCGCGCTCATTACGGATTTGTGCCCACTTTATTTTTAAATAATACACGCAACGTAATATTATCGTTATCGATTGCCGCTACCGCTAAATTCTCCGAAGCGCTTCCGAAAAGCATTAAATATTTAAGGACATGGACGTTTGGTGCTGCCCGACTCGACGAATAAGACGACATGAAATTTAATCGTCAATTTGGATAAAAAAATTCAAAAACTCATAAATAATTGAATAAAAATTCGTAATGTTGCGATATAAAATGTCTAAAATGCGGAGCGATTTACCCGTACGACTAATTAATGTCATTATTAATCGACTTAGCGATTATTTAAACGACCCATTAATTAATAATTTGACATACCGGTCGATTTAATTACGATTAAAAACAGTAAAGCCTAATAATATTGTGTGGGTGCTCGTGGGTGTGCGTGTATTGAGCTAAATTAAGGAGAATCACAAGGATTTGGAATTATTGTTATACATAATTATACATAAATAGTTGTAATGCTTGGCAGAGTAAAATATGTTAAACGATGGCTGACTGACTACTTGTTGGGCAGCTATTCCATTTTATTCTCTCTGATGTGACGTGCGCATCCACTATAATTTTACTACGATCCAATAATCCGTCATTTTTATTTTCATCTTAATTAATCGAATTATATTTATAATTATATTACGAACTGGAAGCGCGCTGGAGCTTAAATTTTACTCGCTCTTTGTTTCGTGTACGGCTGCTTTCCCTTTATGCGCGGCACTGCCACTACGTTGTTGTACATTCGCCAAGTACTATATATTAAAACAAGCATTTCATCTTGAATTATTCGATTTAAATACATTTAAAATACTATTAGCGAACCATGGATTTTGGATGAAAAGCTTTTGATAATGGCACAACTACGGGCGCACTGTAATGGAATTTTCTTGAATTGTTCGAATCAATATTTTATAAAATGGAGTAATCCAATGCATTTAAGGACGCGATGGAAGAGTTGGCAAAAGAAGAAACGATCAGTGTAAAAGGGTCATGCGCAAGAAAATGTTTCGCAGAGCGATGGGCAGATTTTTCGCGAGACTGGGAGTAGCGCGATGCAGCTGCCCATGTATACGTATACGCTCGGTAGCACGTGTGTTTTGTCTCTTTCTTTTCTTTTTTGTTTTGTTTTGCCCCCCCCCGGCCCCACCCCACCCCCCACCCCCCACCCCCCACGGCCCTTTTTAAAGAAAGTAGGTAACACGTATACTGGATGACGGCGTCCTTCTTTGTGTCGGCATTTCTAGAATCTGTACGACGGGGACAGCGACGACCTTAATGGATTGTTTTTTCTGGACTTTTTGATAGAGAGGGAGAGCGAAGACGAAAGCTGGCACTGGTCGCGACAACTGGCTTTTTTGTTTGTTTGCATTTATGAGAGTAGATTATTGATTTACGTTATAAGACCAAGCCAAAGAGGGACAAAGAGAGACAGAGCGAGAGAGAGAGAGAGAGAGAGAGAGAATGAGAGCGCGAGCGTCGAGAGGTGACGAGACGAGACGAGACGAGACGAGACGAGACGAGACGACACACGCACGCACGCACGCACGCACGCACGCACGCACGCGCGCACGTACGTACAGTCAAAGAAAGAACAGATGTCGGATGAGTGACCAAGAGATGAGAGAGAGAGAATGAGAGTAAACTTCCTGCTATACATGATATTGCGTTCGATTGTTTTTGGAGTGGGAGTAATGCTTATATACCTAGAACAAAGTCCCGGGAAAATCCGCTGAAAAGCTAAAGTATTCATAGGGCAGCATAAATGTATTTCGTCTCTTTGGATTTAGTTATAAGCGAGAGGTGTACATTAAAAATATACAAAATTAACTTCAAGTTCAAGTCGAAACAATTTTATTATTTGCCTTAAAATTATTCAATTCATTAATTAAATCACAATCTTATATCTAAAATATTAATCTTTACTTTTAAAGATTATTTATAATAAAAATACAAATTTGAGAGTATCGAGGTAAATTTTTTTTCATGATACTTCATAATCCAATTGTTAAATATATGAAATGTACGAATAGAGGGTAGGAGAATCACATGGAAAATTGATGTCCTTGCTATATAATGGCTTATGAAAATACACTTAAAGAGCCGTTCATCAAGTAAAACTACTGGAGGCAGTGCATATACTGCATACGAAAGAATCCTGTAGTAAATTTATGCTACAGTAAATGCATTTTAATCACAAAGAAAGACAAAAGTTGCTCCAGATAAAACCTCGAGCTACAATCCTTGCATTATGGATTTAGACTGTCTCGTTTTCATAAATTATTTTAATACGATATGTCGTTTTATAAACATATATATATATACATATATATATAATATACACATATATAATACACACGCGCACGCGCACACACGCGCACGCACGCACGCGCGCACACACACACACACACACACACACACACACACATATTATTATAAGTGAATTTTTATAAGGTGCAAGTATTTACTCCGCTATCCATCTACTTCAATTCTACATTTTTCAATATATTTTTAAAGGCATTTTGCAAATAAGGTTAACCCCCCAACCCCCTACCCACAAACACAATGCTTTACTTTTATTAATATAAATCATTCCGTTTTATCTTCCTTTGCGAGGAATAACTTTTCACTGACCTATACCTAAATTACGATAAATTTTATAAAAATGTCATTACAGTTAATTCATAAGCCATTGTAAATGAAATATAATTAACTATAATATTTTAATGTACTATATGAATAGCCGTGAGGCATAAATGAATACACCAAAGTCCAACATCATCGGATCAATCATGTACTTTTACAAGCGAATTTTCTTTATGCAATCTTGATTATCTATTATACACTCTTCGTCATCGGCTGACAAAAATTCTTAATTATTTTGCGTTCTTTGGTCAATAACTCGAATGCGATTGTCGAAAAATTGTATAAATAAATACATCAAGCCTCAATTTAATATCTGCCGTTGAAAATAATCCTTAAGAGGAATAAAAACTATATGTTCGTTAATTTTGACGTATCATTTTTCTTTTTCTTCCTTTCGTTTTTTAACCGAAATACCAAAACCTAAAAATGGATAATTATATACGAGGCAATGAAATGCCGATAATAATTAAATACAGTAAATACTATAAGAGTTAAATAAATTTATTATATTATTGCAATTGACGTTTGTAAATTGACAAGTTATACCGTTTCATTTAGATAATTAAGATAAAAATAAATTAAGCTCCGATGAAATGGTAAAACATGGAAATAAAATGTGATAAATTTATCAGTGGGATACTGTTTATGGATATCTAGTTTTATATTGTGTTATATTGTTGAATGTTATTACGCTGTCGCATATTAATAAATGTACTTTTGATTCGTGTATATAATACATTTGATTTGATGCTATTGCGTAATAGCAATAAATGAGTTTAGATTCCTAGTAATTTATTATAGATTTCGTAACATAATTTATCTAATCAGAAATCGTTGCAATTTTTTTTTTTTTTTTTTTTTCATACAAAAAGCCGAAATAATTAAACAATTTTGAAGAATTATATATATATATATATATATATATATATAAAGCATCTAGCTATTGTAGTGAATTAATTTAGTGAAAGCATATATAATACGCGTTGGCTTATATTTAAAGAAAGATAATTTTTGGTGCATATTTTTTTGGTAAAATCCAAACTTGTACCGATACCAAATAAAGAAATGTTAATCATAAAGTTATGTAAGCTTTTTTTTCTTTTACTTTAATACACCTTCAAATCATATAATCAACCATCATTTTTTCCTTCTTTCATAATAGGGAAAATCAAAAATTGTTGTTTAAATTGATCGGCGCTATGTTTAGCAAATAGCAATGCGTTCGCACTGCGCAGGCACTCGGGGAACAATTTTTGTATTTCTTGAAGCTTTAAGAAATATCAATATGGCGTAATTGGCAGAAGGAACACATTGTATTTCAGTTCCGGCTAAACGATCGTTTAGCTGCTCGAACAAATAAAGTAAAGTAAAGTAAATAAAAAGCTTATGTTTGAACGATATCTCATTCATTTCAAGTTTTCGTAAATTCATAGTAACATTAATAATAGGAATTGAGAAAGACATGAAAGTTACGATAAACAGTAAGTTCGTTTATATATTATTCTCTAAATATTTTATTTACCTTATTTTCTTAATTTCTTAATCATTAAAGATAATGAAGCCGATTTTTTTTTGTTTGTTTTTTAATTTCGATTAAGGACGATGCCTAAAAATTAGGATATTATTAGCATTTATGTTAGTATAACATTTCGTTTTTTCGGTATTATAATTTTTTGGTTATGTTTTGATTTTCGTAATCGTTCGCCGACTGTCTGTCCATTATCATTCTAAATTAGTTCGAATGAAAGTATATTATTGACGCTCATTGTTAACTGTTTTGCGTAAATGTAATTTAAACTTTTATTTGTAGCATCTTAAACGTCATAAAGGTACGATAGTAATTTTAAGGTTAGATTGGCTGCTTCATAAGAAATGGAGCCACCAAGCAAGGCGTGCACTTACATTAGTGATTAATAACTAAATGCCACTGCGTTTACATGGCATATTCTTCACGAGGCGCGCACAAAATAATTGATTCGACAATTCGTTCAGAGTAAAAGTGACGGAACTATGAAATTGAAAAAGAAAGTCGCCAATCCCCGTCCAATTTTACCGATAATAAATAACGGAATAAGTGGGCGATTGTAATCTTCATAAAATCGTTATCGCTGAAACATCAACGCCTGTAATTGTCAAATTGAGAGACGGTTTATAATAAAAATTCTCCTTATCATAAAAACGGTCGTTAGCTTGGTTGGTTAAGTAAATGTCGTGCCCTGGTAACCCTTAGGTTGGAGAGGCGTCGCCACCTGGCGTTGGGTTGCGAACGACGACAACTGCGGCATTTGCCGGATGCCGTTCGACGCCAGTTGCCCTGACTGCAAAATACCCGGCGATGACTGCCCGTTAGGTATGAGCTGTATTTTATTATACTTTTGTCTTCGTCGATATAATGTGAGTAACGCGGCGAGTAAAACAGATGGGCAAGATATTGAGAACACCGCGCATAAGTCGCGTTCGAAGCTTATCGATTGAACGGCTAATGAGTAAAATTTTCATATGTGACGATTAATCGCTCGATTATTTAGTTTGATTGACCACGTTGGTTTCAGTTAATTTTAATTCTCATGCGATTTGTAATTTATGTATTTTGTTTGATAATTTCTTTGCGCGGTAGTCCTTAATTTTATTGACGTGAGTGTACGATCGACGCGACGATGCAGAAATTTCAATTTTTCAAGTTTCATTACGATACGATTCACTTTCGCTCGCTAGCCTTTCATTTTTATAATTTTAACTAACGAGCTTTAAGTAAATGCACGGATTCTACATAATCAAGCTCGTTCCAATCTGTCTAATTAATATGCACGATACCAGGGCTAAATATCGTTTTTTTTTAACTTTCATTCGACTTGTACAGTGGAACGATCGTGATTACTTGGCTCGTAAATGCTTAATGCACTAATGAAACGTATGTATTTTTAATTTCTATGATATTAAGTGCTACATTAAAAAGACGCAGTATTAATTAATAGTATCTGAATGAAAATCAGTTAATCTCATAGGAAAGCCCAACGAGACTTGATTATATTCACTTAATTAAACACAATCAATGTATTTAGGTAACATCCTTCCTATAATATGTAAGACTATATGAAATATTTTACAATTTCATACAGTTTTCACGAAGCGTACATTAGTTTTCTTTGATTCTGCGATACTTATGCACGCAAATGATCAATATATTGTTTAATATTACCGTGCGTATATATTTAAATTCTTAATTTTAGTGCTTGCAGCATTCAATTAGGTTGAACATATATTTTTCTACAAGCATTTGTATCTATTATTTTTACAATATACAAATTTCGATTATAATCTCCAGTCTCATTATGTAATGTAAAATAATGTTGAGAAATTAATAAAATTGCTTACACACACATGCACGTACGCACGAACGCACGCGCGGGAAGAACAAAAAAAAATATATATATATATATAGATATATATATATATATATATATATATATATATATATATATATATGTAAATGCGTACATATTAAAAGACAATTGAAATTTATTACGAAACATAATTGGATTTAAAAAATTTTATTTAATTTTAAGTTATTAAAACGATTTTTTTCTCTTTTTTTTCTTTAAATACAATAATTGAGAAATTTCAGAAGTTTTTGTATTACGTACATTACTTTCAATACCGCGTGATTCTGTAAAAATTGCCAACAGTATGAATTTTATTTTTATTGTTTTTAATCGAGTCATATATGTTGCTTACATTCACTTACAATATTATTAAAGCATACAACAGAATAGATAGATTCTATTAATATTTACTAATTCTTTACTTATTTTACAATATTTTATGATATAGTGATACAATTACGAATGCGATTATCAATAATTAACTTATTATTCAAAAATTATATTGATGTAAAATCCATAAGTTATAACTCTGTAGAGTATTAAAAAAATAAACAATTAAAAAGAAGAGACTAAAGTTTTTTAGGTTCAGTATAATATCTATTTTAATATTTTTCACATACTTAAATTATGCTGTACATAGTTCAAGGTAATTAAATAATCGACATTTATTTATGAAGAGAGAAAAATCATTACCGCATTTCTCGTCTATTTATTTGACACAAATGACGAAATAATTATATTTATTCGCAAGCCTATATTTAAGTTTGGTTTTTATTATTATTGTTATTGTTGTTATTATTATTATTATTATTATTATTATTATTATTATTAATATTAATAATTCGGTTTTAACCATGTCTGAGATCTGAAATTCTCGTTAAGCATAATTTTCGTAGGTGGGTTTGTATAATTAATTATACAAAAGTCATTTCCCACGAAGATAAAAAAAAAAAAAACTTCCTCCTTACAAACTTCCCATTGATTAGTGAGTTTATATAATGTTGATAAAGTATGCGAAACGAGTTGCGGAATGTGCGATGAAGCGTGCGCGGTAGGGATTCCGCTTTTCTCAAGGTACCGCAGTCGCGTTAAAAAAGCTTTAGATTACGGGCAAACCGATGCAAATTAAAAGGCTTCGTGGACGTTTCAAATCATAGAGGGCAAGCAAGGATAGGCGGGATAAATGAAGGGCGGGAAATTCGCGACCCCTCGGGAGAGGTCCTCGTCAAAAATCAAAATCAGTTGTTGAAAAGAGTTGGCGCTTGCGAGGCGGGCGGGCCGGAAAGTATTGGGAAAAGCGAAATAGCCGAAGCAGGCTCCGCATCTGCGCAATGAACGCTACGGATGTGCGCGATTGTTGGTGTAAAGTGAACGTATCGATCGGCGCGCGAATTGTTTTGGCCTCGGGCCACAAGCCGTGTGCCGCCGAGTCATCGAGGAAGCGCCTCGTTCGTTAGTGTTCCGGGGCGGCATCGAGTACCACGACGATCGCGACCTGGGAGAATTTAGTGAAAAAGCGAGGAGAGAGAAAAGGAAAACCACGGGGGTTGGCCTAAGCGTGAACGCACAGGGGCCTGATCGTCAACTGTTGTGTGCAGTCTGGGGCCAGTGCTCGCATTGCTTCCACATCCATTGCATCATGAAGTGGCTCAACTCCCAGCAGACGAGCCTTCTCTGCCCGATGTGCCGCCAGGAGTGGAAGTTCAAGGAGTAGCTTCAGGCCCGACCTGGCAACGCTTCCAGCCGACAGTCGGGAGCAGCACCAGGGCGCAGCGGTAAGTTCCGCGGATCGTGACCGGGATCGATCGGATGCGTACACGTGCGTGTCGTCGTGCGCGTGCGCATTGGATAAAGAAGCGCGGGCCATTCGCACGTAGGGTATCTGCTGTGATGCGTGAGCGAGCGATTTTAGTTTGTTAGTCCTGCTGGAAGAGTAAAGATTTTATGAACTTGCGATGATTTTTTGTTACTTTCACGAGGAAGGAAGAAGTTGTCGAATAACATTTGACATTTGACAATACGCTGTTGATTCGCGTATAATGTTACTCGCTGTATTCTCTTTATTTGTTCTTTGTTTTTTGTTTTTTGTTTTTTGTTTTGGTTTTATTGATTTTTGTTTTTAAATGAGAAGAACATTCGTTCAATCACTTTCTCAGGCATTTACTTAATATTCAGGAATAATCTGATTAATCTATCGAGAAGCGATTTGGTCATTTAGAATAGCTAACTCCCTTATGCTTCAATGTAATTGTTTTCCATTGTTTACAAATAATAGTGGCTTTAACGATAAAAAGTAATAAGGAACTTTTTTTATTAATAATAACTGAGCTTGTTACGAACCACATATTTAATGAACGTTCTTGCATTTAAGTTATTAGTTGTCTTATGTCAAAAATTTATATTTAAAAGAAATGAAATTGTATTTTAGCCGATTGTTTGGGTTGTTTTTCGCAAAGTTTAATTATATTATAGGAATGATGATTTTCCTATTTTTATATCGTTCTAACGATTCAGTCTAATGTAAAAAATCTAATATATAGAGCTTACCAGCTATTTATTTTTAAATTAAATTTCGAAATTTGCAATGTCTACATCGCATTAAAGTAGTAAATTTCAAAGCGTATAAATTATTATTATTATTTATAATTGTATTCATTTTTGATATTATATTTGATACTACTTGATTGGCGATTTAGTATTTAATTAAGAACATTAATAATATTGACCAATACTTCAATAGCTTTAATAGATTAACATGTTTAATCAAGTGACATTTAACTAAAGCGATTAGAAACGAATGTAGAAAAGTCTATAAAGTTGTTATTAAAATAAAAATTTTTGGTTACTTTTCTCATTTTTTCACTCATCTTTTCCATAATTATGGATCTTACGTAATCTCATAATTACACAATTGATTAATGTTATAAAATAATATATCGAGATAGATTTTTAACAACAAAGGGAAATTTTCTAATAATAAATTTCTTGTCATAAAATTACGAGTGTCTGTTTTAATTTATTTGTTTTTAAGTTATATTAAATATAAAATGAAAATGTGAAATTTCAATGTAATTAATTCCTTATCAATTATATAAATAATGTATATAATATTTGTTAATATTTATTGATAAATAATGATTAGTGCTAAATTATTTATAACTACTATTCGAATCATTTGGGGTTCATATCTCTCTCTCTCTCTCTCTCTCTCTCTCTCTCTCTCTCTCTCTCTCTCTGAGTTACGGCTACATTGAATTTACATTCTGATAGTACCCATATTATACAATTAAAATATTTGACTATTATACCTCTATTCTTATGTCAAGTATTAAAAACATATATTGACTTATCTATACAGCTTACGATAATCGCATTTATCCAAGCATCTGACATATTTATTTAACGTGTTTTATACAACCACTGCGGATGATATTACTTATAGGTTATTTACACGCTAATTCTTTAATATGAAGAAAATAATAACAGACTCATGTTTGAATTTGAAGTGTTTGAATTCATATATATATATATATATATATATATATATATATAGTGAATAATATTACTATTTTGTGTTAAAATTGCCTTTTTTACGCTTTGTAATTGATAAATATACATTTTTGGTTTTTACAATCTAGAATAGAACAGAATAGAATAGACTTTGAAGTTTGAATCTTGTTTATAAAATTAACAAATACAAAGTATTTTTTCAATTGATTTTGCATTTCTTTTAATAGCACTTGCCATTTAAAAGATTTTATTTTTATACAAATACAGTAATGCGATCAAGATTTGACTATAAAATTTGTTATTACGTAAATCACAATATTGCCTAGACAATAGATTTCATATTCTAAAAGTATAAACTTTATATAAATACACAAGTATTGGTATGACTTTAAGGAGTTAATAAGTTTTAAGTTTTGTTACGTAATTTAAATGTGCTTAAAATTGGCGTATACCTATGTAACTTTAAAATAAATACGTAAGTAGAATTTAATGTTTCTATTTAATTGAAAAATGACTAAGAATATTGACTAAAACGAAATAATGTTTTATTTGTATTTTATTATTATCAGGATAAATAGTGTCAGTTTAAAATATATTTATTTAAGAAATAATTAAGTTATTGGTGTTGCAATGAAATAAACGTTACAGTATTTCATTTTCATACGAACATAAATTAATTTTTTTAAGGCTTTAAAGTTATTACGAAGAATAATAGGCGCATCAGACAAAGTGTGTTAATATTATCCAAATTTTCAGATCGAATAATTTTAATATTAGCATTGCTGACGGAAGAGATGCTGCCGTTTACTCGCGACTTTTTTCCCCAAAAGTTTTCTAATGTGTTTATTGCTCCGTCCACAGATGTGTTTGATTCGTAATTTAATTTACCTTCCCGATACTTTGCATTCTTTTTTGCCATTACGTAATTTTGGTATTACTTTTGATATTTTGAATTATAAGATTGCTTATTAATGTGAATATTCACACCTGGATAATTATCGGAATATGAAGTTATTCGCCTTAATGTATGTTATATCTCAATAATTAAATATATATTGTATAATAACCGATCAGTATACCATATAATTCAAGAAATTTTAATGTAACGAGCATCATTAGAAATTTCTTCTTCTATTCTTTATAAAAAGCTAAGATATCTATTCCGCAATCTAGAGCTCAACTTTAGTTTTTCATTTGCAACTACTTTGGGTACATTGTAACGTGACCTATTACTAATGCACTGTAACGGATAATTTGAATTGCATGTACGAAAGAGGTACGACCACTTTCAAATTTAACTTATTAATGTATATTGGATAATTGTAAGAGCAAGAGATTGCATAACTTTTTATTTTTTTTTTTTTTTTTTTTTTTTTTTTTTTACCAATGATTACATTCACGTTGTTGATAGTGTGTACAGTTGACTAATGGGAGCATAGAAAGACAAGTGTTGCAAGAATTTTTAATTCAGCAGTTGAAAGTTTTTTCGAAAGCCAATTATTTTACAATCTTATTTTTCTCTGAATATTCGGTAAATTTATTGGAATAGTGTAAATTAAAGGAAAATAATTAATAGGGATTGCGCGGAATAATAAACGGCGTGAATAACATTTGAAAAATATCGAATATGGTTAAGTTTATTTAATGCAAATAAAATATTTTCAATATGAAGTAATATTACAACTACGTTTGCATCAGCTTAAATATCGTATATTTAGAAAAGAAATTTCCAATCAATCAAATGTTAATTATATTTTTATTACCCGAGTAATAAAATTAACCGAATTATTGTTTAATAATTAGATATTTAGATTAGATGCTTTGTTTGTGGAATTTCTGTTTTGTACTAATGAATACTTAAAATGTAATATAATTTTTTCATGTCCATGGTTAATGGAATTATAAATAAATAGCTATAAATAGAAAAGAATAAGTAAAGTTTCTTGAACGAGCAATACATTTATTGAAACACGATTGCTTATATTTTACTTTTAAAAGGATCCGGAAAGTTTGGTCCTGAAAAATTCTTTGTAAATAATGTTATTTATTGAATTTATTATTGATTTTGAAAAACTGCTATGCTTTCATGAACATGGAATGCAATTTAGAAATTCTTAGAACAGGACTTGTCAAAGTACTCGGCTGAGTGAAAATATTTATAAGTATGAATAATGACTCGCTAATAAAACCCAAAATTAATAATACAAAATTTCAGCTCGGAAGTATGCTTTCATTTGATTTCTTCGTAATATAGAAATTTGAATATCCATATTTATTCTTTCTTCAGTCTTTGTAAGATCTGTTCAGATAGCGATGTAGTGCGGCAACGCTAAATCGTCGAAGTGGCGCAGTTACAAAGAATGTCTTTGCATAGAAAGAGCTTTTTTCTTTTCTTTTTCTTTTTTTTTTTCGTTTTCAAGCGCATAGACCGAAACTCTCGTAATCACTCGTCAAAGCATAAAATAGATATTTAAGGTTTCACAGGAAGCATAACTTTTCGCATAAATTTTTTGCAGCACTCCTCCTAAGTATCGGCCATATATCTCGGGTACCCGTTTATTACAGTGCGTTGATAAAGATTTGCTGCCTCCACATTGGGAATAGAGCGAAAATGACAGCGCCGTGAAAATAAAATAAATACCTCGAGCACAGTTTGCGCAATCGGCGTGTCGTCTCGGCTATTATCTCATAATTAGGGACGCGTTTAGCCTTTGAAAATAGCTTGAGCTGTAGGATGAGAAGGCGGTGGCGGCGGAGGAGGAGGTCGGAGAATTTATTGTCTCGGAGGAACAAAGGGCGCTCGCGGCCGATAATTCCTGTGGCGGGGCAATTGTCAAAGGCGATCCAGCCAATGGTCGACGGCACGCGCACCTCGGCATTATAATGTCAATGTGTGTTTTGGAAAGGTCGCTCGTGATGTAGATAGTGGAAAAGCCTCCGGTTACTTTCAAATTAACACCTCCATGCTGCGTCCAAGGATTTTTCTTTTCTTTTCTTTTCTTTTCTTTTTTTTCTTTCTTTCGCGAAACATTATTTAACGCTTTAAGCTATTTTCCGATATTATCTCATATTTGCTCGAGCTTTTGAAAGTGCGTTAAGCTGTCGTTTACGAACGTTCGTTTTATCAGTGTTTCGAAGAATTTTTATTAAATATGAGGTTATTGTCAGCTAGACTGGACGCCGTAACATTCGTTTTTATGAACGTAAATGAGCAGATACGCATGGGACTCGATAGACAAATAACCATGCTTGTAATAATAAAATTTAATTATGTAATTCTTTAGACGCTTATTATCTAATAGCCCAATTCGTAAATATGTTACGAATATTTTATGGTTACATTCTCGGTAATTAATTAACAGGTGGAATCGTTGCTCATCTTTACCGTTTGTCTTTCATTATGTATCTATTATAAAATTCGTGAATACTTTCGGCTGAAAAATTGTCCGCAGATATTTACATTATTTA